CAAAGTGCTTAGATGAACAGTTCCAAAAGTCAAAAGTGGACAAAGATAATGGGATGGAGGCAGTATGTTTTTTATGTTCCACTCTTTCTTTAATTTTTTTCTATACTTTTTTTGCCTAAAAAAATCTTTGGATACTTTGATTTTTAATTAAAATCTTTTTTTATCCCTACTAATTAAACTCAAATATATAGTCTTAGGTCTTCCCCCACCTCTCCCACGGCAGACGCACACGTGACGCCAGGCGGCGGGCGGCTCAGGTTTGTTTTCTCAACATTTTCTTCTGTTTTTTCTTCTATGGCCTTTTTATCAATTTCAGCTTCTCTTTAGATCACCTTAATTTTTTGTTACCGGAACAAATTCGGCCATGGCAGCATAAACCTTAGATGTTTGGATGTAAACCTCAAAAACCCGAAATTAGGGTTCGCGCTGACAGTTCTTATGGCCTTTTTTGGGTTTGGGAAGAGTTTTTTCAATTAGCGTTAACATTTTGTATAAAATATTAACGGTGTAGATTAATTCGGAAAACTTAGACTACTGTCAAATAGTTTTTTCAAACTCTAAAGCCAAACAGGGCCTATGTTGTGTTGCTGCTACCTTTGTCGAATTTTAAAATTTTGCCTGTGTGCTTTTCAAATTAGTGGGTTATTACTTTAATGGATATGTATTTTATTGATTTTAAAAATAATTGATTCATTAGAATGCAAAAGATATCATACTCCCTCTGTCAGGAATTAGTGGACTATGTTCTTGTTTTTATTTGTCTGGAATTGATTATCCTCTTTTCATATTAAATAAAGAAATTATTATGAATTTTCTATGATATCCTTGATATATGGTATTGGTATTGTTTACACCAATGAGTGACACATTTATTTGAAAGACTTATTTGACATTTTTAGGTCATTTCTTGAATATGAGATTTCTTAGAGAGTGGAAACCTAAATTTGGATGGAGAGAGTAAAAAACATCCCAGATTCGTAGACGTTGAGTGCATGTTTATTTTGTGTTTTTTGTTGTTGAAATTGCTAAACCCGCTGAATTTTCTGAAAGTAAAAGGCTAAAGGGGTTAAGCTAACTACATTTTTGGTGAAATTAGTTAGTAAAAAAAAGCTATTATATTATTTTGCTACGATGCGTAGCCTAAATGGGGTGGAAGTGGTAAGAATTTGAATTCAAGATATTTAATCTTACGAATTGGTAGCATAGTATTCCTACATTACATTTAAAGCGTTAATTTTGATGTGATTCACTATTGTAATTATAGGTTTCTTTAAGCATTAATTTTGATGTGATTTACTAATGTAATTATCGGTTTACTAATTTACATATAGATTGTGTGTAAAGAGCTCTTTCGAGATTGACTTTTTCTTGCTTTGGTTTTAGATTCACCTAACTAAATGGAGAACCCGCCTAAAGTAGAGGAAGATGAATCATTTAAGTTCACATCAGAAAGTGCATCCGAGGTGAAGCAAGAAACCTTGGAGGAGATGCTTTCTAGACACAGGTTTGGTATATGAAACCATATTAGTTGATGTGCAATTGTTCGACGCAGTTTTAAAACAAATGCGTTTTTTGTATCAAAATGGTTCTACTAATAGCAGCTCTTCTGAGAGGGTACTTCCGTCTCTAGGAAAAAGTTGTGTATGATGAATTTACATTTTCAAGTTTTGGTAAGATACAGTGAGATTTTGACAGGAATATCCAACAAAATACCGTGCATTAAATCCCAAAAACAATTCTGAAATGCTCTAAAACAAATGCCATCAAGCATATTTTTTAACATGTAAAAGTGTTTTTGACTTGATGAAAGTGCTCCTGAGCTTGTTCAGATAAACAATCTCTCTGCCTATGTAATAAATGAAGAAACTTTAATTCTTGTCAAATGCCATTTTATTGCAATATGTACACAGGAAAGAGATATCCAGGCTACAAGACAAGGAAATTGCAATGAAAAAGGCAGCTGCAAAAGGAAGCAAGGCCGAGCAGAAAGCGAAAAAGAAACAAGTGGATGACGAGATATCAAAACTCTCAACAGAGCTCAAAGAGGGACATGCCCGTGAACTCGCCTCTCTGGGGTATAACGGTAATAACACCAACAATAAGGACAACAAAGGAAGCCTTGACAACTTAGTCAATGCTATTGCGGGTGTATCCTTCAACACGGCCCAGCCCGACCATTCAAAGCCCAGTAAGAGCGCCAAGAGGCGTGAGAAACGGGCCCAAGAGGAAGCAGCCCGAGAGCAGAGGATAAAAGAAGAGCAGAGTAATATCCAGAGCGACCGGGCCATTGAGGACGAAAAGCTGGTAAAGAAACTCGGGCCGCTCGGGCTGACCGTTAAGCAAATAAAGCCCGACGGGCATTGTCTCTACCGAGCCCTTGAGGACCAGCTATCCCTCCATTCAAAGGGCACCTCTCCTTACTCTTACTTAGAACTACGCCACCTGGCAGCAGCTTACTTGAGGCAACACTCATCGGATTACCTTCCGTTTTTCCTATCCGAGATAGGCGGGTTGTCTTCGGGCGACGAATCGGGTACCAAGAGGTTTGAGGATTATTGTGGGGAAGTGGAGTCAACCGCGGCGTGGGGTGGTCAACTTGAGCTCGGCGCCCTTACTCATGTCTTGAAGAAACATGTTGTTATATATTCGGGGTCGTTTCCGGACGTGGAGATGGGAAGGGAATATATGAACAAACCAAAGAGTGGGCCCGCCTCGTCGGCGGAGAGTATCTTGTGTATCTTGTTGTCATACCACCGGCATGCGTATGGGCTCGGGGAGCACTATAACTCGCTTGTCCCCAAGATGGCTTGAAGAGCCGTGTCTGTGTAACGTGAACAAGGTTTGTTTCACAACTCTGTGACATTTGATCTGAGCTAAGTGCTTGTGTTTTTTGACCTAAGAAATGAGTTTATGGTTGATAAAGCTTCTCTTTTTTCTTTAAGTTAATCGATTATTACTATGATTTTCTTTTGTTTTTGTCTACATTTGTGTGATTGCAGTTGATGCATGTGGCTTACTGTTTCATAAATGTTTTGTGCCTTATTGTGTTTGGATTAGAACAATGCTTGGCTTACACCCCAAGTTTTATATGGAGACATTAATATTATATCACACTCATTTTTTGCATTTCGCACACAAGATTTGTATGTGAAACAAACAAATCGTGTCTGTGTGTCGCTCGAACGGATGAGATTTGTCTATTTCACGTGCAAATCTCGTGTATCAAGTGTAAGAAATGAGTGTAAAACTCTAGTGTACAAAGAGTTTTATCCTTTGGATTATGGTTTGAGATGGTATGATATGGATTCTGCTTAACCATGCCTAGAACCATTTCCATCCTAGTCTCTCCGTTCTAAAAAGAATACCACATTTCCTTTTTCAACTATCACGAGAATTTTTGTTTATTTGTACACTTTTTATTGATTATTTGATGAAATAAAATATTTTTGACACATCTTATTTTGAAGAATTTTTCATGTAATTTTTAAATATGTAAATTTTATTTTTATATCAATACTTAAATAAAATGAATTAAAAAAATGTACTCTCTCTGTCCCCCATAGATCTTCCCAATAGTCCTTTTTCTTTATCCACAATAGATCTTCTCATTTCATTTTTTAACAAGTAAAATACCACAACTACCCACACTTACTTTATTTATTACACCTCACCCACTTCATTTAATACACTCCACCCATTTTTCATTAAGGGTATTATGGTAAACTTTCATCTTTTTTCAACTCTCCTTAGAAACCACCAAAAGTCAAAATGAGAACATCTTAGAGGGACGGAGGGAATAATATTTTACTTCGTTTTGCAAAATGTGACAAACAATTTGAAGGAGTAATTTATATGATATACGGAGTAGTAATGTAGTATGGTAATTTCAGTTTAGAAAATCCATGAAATATGGCCCCATTTTAAACAACATGGCTTGCAATATTTTATTTCCATAAACACCCCTTATTAGACCCAATAATCCAATTTTACCATTCAACCCTTCTTTTCTTGTTTACCAGGGCAAAATCACTTCATATAAAATTTAAGGAAAGTAAAATGTGCTGTTGAAAGTGAGGTAGAAGAGAAAATTTGCGAATCACTTAACATTTTCTAAAAAAGGAAAGTGTCTTTATTTGAAAAGTTCCAAAAAGAAAATAAGAAATACTCTGTATTTAGGAAAGTTTAACACAATTTTACCATTTAGCTCTTCTTTTCTTGTCTACCAGTGCAAATTCACTTGACATAAAGTTTTAGGAAACTTAATGTGTGCGATTGAATGTGATGTAGAAGAGAAAAATATTTTGAGCTACTCAAAGTTTTCTAAAAAAAAGAAGAAGAGTCTTAATTTGAACATGCCAAAAAGGAAATAAGAAGTATTTAGCGACAAAGGTAGTAAATGTTTGTGCAATGCAACAAACACTTGTTTGTGCGTATCAGTAATACACTTGGTTTACAAACATTAGTGTACCCTAGCACATCTCTATTCCATATTCCATGTAAATAAGAAAACATACTTAAGAATACCGTACTCTAACCATGTAAATCAAGGCCTTAAGTATATATGGTTCTTCATGGTGTTTATATTTAATCTGACCAATCGCTTAGTTCGATCTCATAGAAGAGGCCATCAATCACACGCATTTTATCGAACATATTGTTTGCAATGAAAATATGGAGTACAATACCTTGCTAAATCTGTTTTGTCACTGAAGAATTTGCAGAGATGATTGCGAAAATCTTATTAATTTTCTCTAAATTTTAAAACTCGTAACATATTACACTACATAAGAGTTGTTCTATTAGTTGGAGACTTTTGAATTTTCTCAATAATCAGCCAAACGGGTTCATTTTGTGTGAATCCAAACAATAACAAAAAATCAAATTAATCTCATACTTAAAGTGCATGCAAAACTGCTTAAACCAAATGCAGATTAAATTAATTCTAAACTCCATGTAATCAAGATTTCATCAATCTACCCCTTTAATTCCTCTTAATCATTACCCTAATCAAATGATTATTAGAGCACTACTACTATTTTCTAATCTAATTACTCTAAATTGTACCATAATTTGGAGAACTTCCCCTTCCCAATAGTCCCCATTAGATAATTAAGATTAATCATTAATCTAATTAATCGTAATTAAACATCATAACCTTACAAAGAAAATACTCAATTCCGGTCCGCTATTCGCGTCGGGGCTTATCATGTACAGTGTCTCCGAGTCCTTCGACCCCACCGTCCGGTCAAAATGCGCCCTGACGTAAGCGATCTCGCCGTCCGGCCCGTCCACGTCGGATTTCCCCGGCAGCACTCCGGCGCCCATCGACACCACCTTCAGCGCCTCCATCACCCCGAGATCCTCCTCCGTCGCCTCCCGCCTCTTCCCGTACCCGATCTTCCTCCCGTTGCAGAACATCGTCCACACCGGTTCTTCTAGAAGCTTCACCCTCGCCGTCGCCGCCGCCGTCGCCGCCTTCTCGCATTCCATCGTGATCCTCACCATCCCCTGCCCCATCTCCCTCTGCAGCGCGTGGGTCTGCATCGCCATTTCCAGGACAAGCGTCGGGAGCGTCCCGGGGTTTTCCTGGACGGAGAGGCTCGCCCGTCCCTTCCGGTACCCGAACAGGGTACCCGTGACGCGGGTTCCTCCGCCGCCGCCGCCGCGGACTGGGCCGTCGGGGAATCGGCCGACGGCGTAGGGGATGGAGGGGAACTTGCAGACGGGGTGGGTGATGATTGGGAATGACCGGAAAACGGACCGCATTACTCGGAGCACCTTCTCCGGCCGGCCCTTCCGCTTGGTGGCGGAGGGCTCGACGAGGGAGGAGGACGACGGCGGATGGTTCGACGGGGAAGACGATTGGCTGGCGGTGCTCGGGCGGCCTGGCTCCGCCGTCGCTGGTTCTCCCATTATGATTTCTGTTTTGTTTAATGGGTTCAGATAATTGCAACAACCAGCCTCGGGGAGAGTGCCATTTGAGGCGGACAGAGACCGGAGAAATATGTGGTGAGATTTGATTAACTATAAAGAGAGAGAAAATTAGAAAATCTCTGTTCTTTGTACATAGGTAACATGGTGAAACTCATTCCGATAGATAATGGAGACAGCTCTGATTTTTTCAAATTGACAAATTTTTTGTTTTGGATTATCTTAATTTATACGGAGTATTATATATTAATATAATAAATTAAAGATTTTTTTATTTATTTGGGTGTTCAATTCCAAATCAATCAAATAAAACTCAAATTTTGATTAAGAACAAGTATAATTTATGATTAATTTTCAAACTCGATCTTGGATCAAAAAAACAAAACTTTGTTTGCAAAGAGTTACTTTTGTTAAACAGGAGACCATTTGGTAAAATCATAGTTTTCAGAACCGGACCGGTGACCGAACCGGTCAAGGTACTAGTTCACTGGTTTACTGGTCGAACCAGTGGTTCAACTGGTCGAACCGGTGGTTTAAACATATTTAAAAATTATATAAATATAAATATAAATATATATATAAATATATATATATATATATAAATAAATAAATATATATATATATATGTGTGTGTGTGTGTGTGTGTGTGTGTGTGTGTATCTGTGTGTGTGTGTGAATATGTATATGTATATATATTTACACACACATACATACATACATATAGACACACACACATTCTCATTTATAAATATCTAAAGAAAGTAATTTATAACATTTAAATAATATTATATTAATATACTTGAGTTATTTTATAAAATTAAAAAATAAAATTTATATATTAAAAAAATATAAAAGAATTTTAAATGTTGATTTTATTTTTTTTTCAAATAAGTTGTTTAATATTAAAAAGACAAAATCTTTGCATGATTTGCATTTTGTAATAGTATCAATAATATTAATGATTTTGTGTGTGACTCATAGCTATAGAATATTATATTTATCAAATTGAAAAGGAATTTATATACAATCTTTTTTGGTATTATGAAATATTATAAAAGATTATGTGAACTTGTAACAAAAAGCCTCATTGGTTGGATGGTTAGGAACTCAACCAAACATATAAAAGGTCTTGGGTTCAAACCCCCATTGATGCATGTTTTGGAAAAAATCATGTTTTGGAAAAAATCAGCAAAAAAAAAAAAATTTGCGGACCGGTCCGACCGGCCGGTTCTTACCGGTTTAAACCGGTTCGGGCCGGTTCAAAGCAGGTTACGGTCCAATGGGCTGGACCGGACCGGTTGGACCACCGGTTCGCCGGTTCACGGTCCGAACCGGCCGGTCCGGTCCGGTTTTTAAAACTATGGGTAAAATGTCTCCATTGGATTTGGGAATGATCTAATTCTGATAGCAAAAATCCACTCTTTTTAAGACCCAAATTTACTTGTGGAATTTATAGAAATAACTTATGAGTAACTTTAGCAAACTAAAATTGGTCAGAATTTTTGCTAAGGGGTTGCCACTCCTTTGACCCGACTCCTCACAATGACGCTCCTTCCGAACTCTTGCCACGAGGTGATATCCCCTTAGAGCCCCCCCCCCTCCCCCCAAGTTACTATGGCATTACACTCAAACAAGTGTGTGCTCCTTATCACGTTACTTGTTTAATGTATAATACGACTTCATTTGATCAAAAAGTCAATCTAATTACACTAAAAATAATAATATTAATATTCATATTCTATTTTAGTGTAATCTTTGATTAACTGAAACAAAGTCAGCTGAGATAACAAATTTATGCATAATTAAAATATCGTGACAATTATATTTTATTTTAGTAGATTACATATTCTAAATATTCAAATATCAGGATGTCTCCATTGATCGATCCCGTGCTATTCATACTAAACACATGTTGATAATAGACACAAAAGTTTTCATACTTTAAAGTTTTAATTGGACATTATATTTTGAGATGATATAAAAATGTGTTCTTTCACTTCTTTGCCAAACACGCCATTACCCCTTCCCATATCACCTGCTACGTGGCACCCCTTCCCGCCTCTTGTATTTCTCTTCCAGCCAAGTCACATCCAGTCTTCTCTTCCTCCGCCCCCCTCTCTCTCTCGCCCGCCACTGATCGATTTCACAGTTAAAAGCATTCTGTTTACTGGGCACAATCGAGAGAAAATGGCGAATATTTTGGCGGCTTTCTCGGCGGCCGCGCTCCCTAAGGTGATATTCCTCGCGCCCAGCTCCGGTTCCAGAAGAACCCGACTTCCCATCGCGAAATTGCGCGGCCGCACAAGGCGGGGCACTGTGGTCCAGTCTGGAGCGCCGGCCGTCCGGAGAGAGGAGGGTGTTGTCTTGGAAGGAAGCGACGGAGAGTTGGCCATTAAAGTGAACGGGGGTTTGAATGGGCTCGCAGGTTTGGCCGAGAGGTATAGCAATGGGAGCATCGGGACTGGGAATCGGAGCTTGGTGAGGGCCACTGAGGTCTTTGAGAAGAAGAAGAAGAAGAAGAAGACTGTGGAGGAGATTGGGAAAGAGGAGGCTTGGTTTAAGAAGAAAGGGATCGATCAAGCCGAGGTAATGTTTAGTCTCTGAGTTTCTTGTTTTGCACTTAATTCATCTGAGTATTATTTTTGGATATTGTCTGTTTCTTATATTAAAAGCAAAACTCATCAGCCATGTGGAACGCTCTTGAAGAATTCACATTGTTTATTACTCTGTATTAGGAACCTAGAAGTTTTTGGACAGTGTGGTACACTCTTGAAGGGTTCTGTTAATTTTAGTTGAACATAGAAATTATAGGGTTTGCCAAGAGCCCAAGATGCTGATGCATTGTTGATTTGCTATCATTATCTTCGTAAAATTGGACCAATTGGTGTGAGTTGGACATAAATTTTGCAGGTATCAGTTGCTCCTGGTGGTCGGTGGAGTAGATTTAAAACATATTCAACAATTCAAAGGACACTGGAGATATGGGGATTTATTTTCACTTTTGCCTTCAAAGCTTGGCTAAACAATCAGAAGTTCTCTTATCGGGGTCAGTTTGGCATCATATATTAGTATGTGTTAGTCTGTGATCAATATACTTGAATTTGTGGTCAATACTCCGTATTATTTTGAGTAGCTTACTAAATATCTAGAACGTCAAATATGTAAAATGCTATACGCTCTGGACCTGTAGTTATTTATTGTCGTGTTTTGACCTCCTTGTCAATTCTTGAGAATAACCAGCATATGCAAAGCCATTTAATGCAATGTGTGTAAAAATCCATCATTTTACCTACAATTTCTTTTCGTATCTATAATAAGTAACCCAATTGAGATGCACCTACACAGGAGGGATGTCAGAAGCGAAGAAAGTTAGTAGGAGGAAGACTCTTGCAAAATGGTTGAAGGAAAACATTTTGAGATTAGGTCCTACTTTCATCAAGATTGGTCAGCAGTTCTCCACTAGAGTGGATATTCTTGCTCAGGAATACATTGATCAACTGTCAGAACTTCAGGTCCGTTATCCGTAGTATCTTTTTAAAAATACTGTACTGGGCCATTTACTCTTTTATTGCATGCAGAACGCTACTAATCCTACTATTATGGTATTTTTGTTTTCATAGGTTTGAGACTTTGAGTAAACAGTCTTTTTTTGCTTATTAGTCCGTATTAATGTGCTTTTAGAAATGAGGTCATGAACAACCTGATTGTCTAAAGATGTGTTCTCAAGCCATCACTAATCAATGGAAGAGTGATTTCTTCAACTTCTAACCTCAACTATCTCTCAAGTGCTTATTTATTATTGAGAAAAAGTTGGATATTCCCTTCTACTAGTTCGAGATATTCAATTGGCTTCCTGACTAACAACTTTACTGAACTCCCTAAAGCTCCAGAAAACATCCCTCCCATGTTTCCTGGATAGGTTGCTGACATGTAAGTTAAAAACCCAATCATCATATGATTGCCATTTAATCCAAAATATCCCAATCAACGTTGAACTTGGTGTTTATTCTCCCCCATCTTTCAGCTTTAATTACATCTATACAATTAATTAGCACTATTAATTTAAGGAAAATTCTATGCACTATAAACATTGGGAGGGTCACTATATATTTGGCACAGTAGAATTTCTCGTAAATTTAATGTCACTGACCCCAACAGGATCAAGTCCCTCCATTCCCATCAGAAAATGTCGTATCAATACTTGAAGAAGAATTTGGATCTCCTTTGGATGATATATTTGACAGATTTGATCTTGAACCGATAGCCGCTGCTAGCCTTGGTAATTTTCATCTAGCACTAGTCATATACGGAGTACTTTTTTTCCTTCAAGTTATCAATTATACTGTACATGTTCATTCTTTTAAGCTACCAACATGTTAATAAGAAATTACACATGCTATTCATTGCATTGTCTTATGCAGGACAGGTGCATCGTGCACAATTGAAAGGCCAGGAAGTTGTTGTTAAAGTGCAGAGGCCGGGGCTTAAGGATCTCTTTGACATTGACCTTAAAAACTTGAGGGTTGTTTTCTTATACTTGTGTACCTTTTATACATGTAGGATTCTTTTAGTAGTCTCAATGAACTCTGCTTGTTATTGTCATTACCCAATAACAGCATGCTTATTTTTTTTCAATATATGGAATCTCTCCTTATTAAATTCCTTGATTATGTTATTTCTTTAAGAACTTAGTCTAATGGTACTCCGCAGTTAGTTCAGGACTTTAGTAAATCACATCACACATGTACTTTTGACACCTGTAGGATTATTATTTTATTCTCTATGATGTCAGGTTGTTATTGTCATTATCCATTAATAGGATGCTTTTTTTTCTCAATAAATGGAATCTCTCCTAATTAAGATTCCTTTTATTATGTTACTTCTCTAAGAAATTACTCTATTGGTACTTTGCAATAAATACAGAACTGAGAACTTTAGTAATTCACATCACACATTTTACAAAGTGATTAGGTTGTCAGGATTAATCACTATTGAGAAGCTGTTATAGCCTTGAGAACGGTGCTGTTAAATGGGTACCACAGTGTAATTTTTTGTTGAATGGTGGTTCTCTTGAGGTGCCTTATGGTGGAATTTCGTCTATCCCTTCGATTGGCAATAACAAATTTTT